AAATTTCAGTAACAGGAATATGTCAGGAAAATCTTACCCTACAAAATATATTCCATATGCCCTTCAGTCTCAGAAACACTTGCTACTGAGTCAAAGTAATGTTATTGTGCTTTTATTACTCATTTTCACTTAAAGGAATAAAATGTGTTGACTGTTTTTAACTATTGCATGTAAGGCGACTGAGAGCATTGGACAGAAACTTATCTTGGGGCATAATGCAAAACAGCTGCTATACTGAAGCAAATGGAACTGAAAGCTGAATAGCAGGCAGGACATAAAACTGGCGGCATAAGCAAGTTCCAAACAGTGCACTAATTTAAGAGAAAGCAAGAAAAACATTAATCTCTGGAAATAGAGTATTCATTCTATTTTATATCATTCAGAAAACATTTGAGGCAAATCAAACACAGGGGCACGAAGAATGTCAACGTTTTTTTTCTTAAGCATTTCTATTCATAAATGACATGACTTTTAGTATTCAGTCCCACAATTTCACATTGGGGAACATGTAAGAGGACATGGTAGCTTCTCTCTGCATATGAAGAAGTGGCTGTTCACTCTTGGGTATGGCATCACATCTGCTACCATTTCCAGTAGCCATACCCCTCCCACTATATCTAATCAGTTCAAAGTCAAGGAATAAATTACATGCAAAACTTTATAGTTAAATGCGTGTATAATCTGATTTTCGTTTAAGCCAATAGATAACAAAGTAAATCAAATTTAATGAATGTAGCAGAAGTGTTGGACAGTGAATTGAATGATAATGTCTTGGAATATTTATGGTTACAATGCTGCCATTTAATTAAATAACAACCTTCATCTATCTTTTTATGTTCCTATTTGCAAAGTTTGTGGATTTACTTCCTCCAGCTCCCTTCTGATCTCTGCATTCTTTCAGTTCTGAACCCTGGCATCTACCCAGTTTTAGCTATGCCACCATTAGTATCAATTCCCTCAGCTGCTGGATCCTAAGCTCTGGAAGTTCTTCTTTAAATCTCTTTGCCTTGCTACCTCAATTTTCACTATGAAGAAATGCGGTAAAACTATTCTCATATCTCCCTGTATGGTTCAGCATCAAAATTTATTGATAATATTCTTAACATACTAACAAATTTCCATGTTAAAGGCTTTATACAAGTCAGTGCAGTTGTGCTAATATATTCAAACAAGGGAATACCAAACTGCACCAAAACAAGAAAGTTTAATAACTTTTCAGCTTTGTTTTGAACCTAAGGTTGGAGCACAGGTGTAACTGACTTCCTGATTATTATTATATTTTAGTTTTGATAAAATATGTGTTGTATTGTGAGTGTTTTTTAACTTTGCAGCTATCTTTGTGCTGGTGGTGTCTGTTAATATACTGCTTTCACTTGATTTGTGATGGTATGAAGGATGGTAATGCCAGTGACATTGACTAAAGGTTGTTAATGAGTTCTATTTTTCTGGGGATTACAACGAGTTAAGACTCCTCACTATCTACGGTACAATTACATAGGCAGTGCAATAAATTATTTAAAAAGGTCTGAGTCAGAACCCAAAATTCTGTGGGCATTTTTAACTTATAATTCCAAAATGTCTATTTTAAAAGAGGGCTGATACAGCTGTAAGTGACTGTGGACATACAGTAAGTAGCTGTCTGGAGAGAGGGACTGATGGAATGTAACTGTATCAAAGATACTTGAAATGGACTGGATTGTGATCTTTCGTCTCTACAAAAACAACGACAGGCTGATGACTCCTTGCTCCTCAGCAACTCACCCTCCTGCGGACAATACAAACTACAGGCACATGCTGTGTCTTTCCCTTTGAAGAAAGTGCAATAAAATAATTTATAAAGTCACTTCCAACTCTGCTGGTGTGTGTTAGTGAGGCAGCGCATTCCCATGTGTACCAGACTGGTTTGAACCTTTGTATGCTGTAAAGGTCACAGTCAAAGAAGTATCGCCAGTCAACAAGGTGCAGGGCTGGATGAACACAGCAGGCCAAGCAGCATCATAGGAGCAGAGAGGCTGACGTTTCAGGCCTAGACCCTTCATCAGAAAAGGGGGAGGGGAAGGGGGTTTTGAAATAAATAGGGAGAGAGTGGGAGGCGGATAGAAGAGGGATAGAGGAGAGGATAGGTGGAGAGGAAACAAACAGGCCAGTCACACCCGTGTTGCAGGATAAGGAAGTGTGTCTTTGTCTCTGAGTGCTGCAAACCGGAATATAGGAAATAGGATGACTGAAGGTTCTGTAGCCCTGAAAGTAGGAATTCCATCACGGTCAAAAGCCATCTGAATGATAGAATCTCAAACAATCTGCAAAACTAAGGATCATTAAGCAGACTGTTCAACTACACTAACATCAACACTACCAGTAACCTTTACTAAATGATTGTAATCATTCGACTGCATACTCTTCACTAACAGTTCCAAGACTGATATTTCAGTTTTAACTTTTACCTTTTTTGGACTCCCCCCTTATTTCTAATCCATGTGTATGTTAGCTGTTTTAATATTTCCTCCCGAACGTAGTAATTGATAAACTTACTCTTGTTAAATCAAGAAAGCCTGGTTAAAATGTTTCCTTTCTAAAACATAATTTCATTTGGGTCTGGGAGAAAGGATGGAAGGGATTCTTTCTAAATTCACCTTGTTGCAACCAGTTGAGGGAGGGACAAATAAAGAAATTCTTTTATCCTCATCTGGGAACTTAACAGTTTGGGGAAATCCAGCCTGGAATCACAATAAATTGGGGAACATTCCCTGGAGTCTGGTCATAATGTTTTACAATGATTTCATAAATGTCTTTTAGTTATTCTCTTCCTCCAATGGACATATAGAATTTAATGGAAGATGATAGGGGTCAATGGGAGAATTGGGTAGGAGACCCAATGACAATTCCTGATGGCTGGGAAACTGTCCCACATTTAATGGAGGGGTTGGAATAGTCTATTGCAGAAATCCTACCTGCTTGTATTGTGTTAACAATTAGGTTCAATGAGTATTTGAGAGCAATAATTCCTGAGCACATGTGACTTAATTGTGGGTCACGGATTTAATGGGATTTGCACAAGTCTCCCTTGACATCCGACAGCCAGTCAGCAGATCCAGCTGGGATTTACCTGCAGCCCTGGAGATGGAGTCACTCATCTATAGGCATTCAGGGCCCAACAAAGAAACCAGGATTGTGGAGTGGGGTGGAAAAGTGAACTGAAAGCCACGCTGCCTCTGCCCTTGTATCTGACCACCCACTTTTTCCTGTGGGAAACATCCTCCATGTGACCCCAAGACACTCCAGTGACTGTTTCCAGGGATCCAGCTGATCTCAGGCACAGTCATGTAATAATATACTTCCAGCTTCATACTGGAACTTCTCAAGGATAGATTTCAGTCTGACTGACTGAGAAGTTGATTGAATCAGAGTCCCCCTCAACATGGTGCTTCATTTAAATTGCATTGGGCTTCTATTGAAAAAGAAACCTGTTCCCATCAGCTTTCCAACTGATGTGCGGCACCTCTATCATCTCAAATTCCACCCAATGTCTGCGAAAAAAAATAAGCATAATAGGGTTTAAAATGTACGTCAGGCTTGGGTTTAATATTACGGTGAATAAGTTGCAACACCAAACACCTCCAACTTTAGAACCTCACGTAAGAAGTATTCTCCAAAGTGTTGCAGTTCTTTTTGAAATAGAAACATAAAAACCAGGAGCAGGAGTTAACAATTCAGATCCTCAAGTCTGCTCCACCATTCAACACAATCACAGCTGGTCTCACCTTGGCCTCAACTGCACTTTCCTGCCTGCTACCCATAACCCTTTTCTCCATCACTAATTAGAAATCTGTCTGACTATCTTCTCCTTAGATTTACTGAATTTCCCAGCTCCTCACTCTGGGGTCATGAACTCCACCGAATCACAACCTGTTTGAGAGATGTAATTCCTCCTCATTGCTGTTTTAAATCTGCCAGCCTCTAGTCAAAAACAATGGCCTATCGTTCTAGAGTTACTGATGCAGACAGGAACTCACTGCCTGCAACAGTGGTAGTAGCATGAACCATCACAATGTTTTAGAAATATTTAGTTAATCTCTTGAATCACCATGGCACGCAAGGATACAGACCAAGTACTGGTAAATGGGACTGGAATAGATAGGTCTTTGTTGACTGGCACAGACACAATGGGTCAGAGGTCCCCTCTCCATGCTGTAAAATGGTATGACTTTATAACGTGTTTCAGAGATAGCAGGAACTGCAGATGCTGGAGAATCTGAGGTGACAAGGTGTAGAGCTGGATGAACACAGCAGGCCAAGCAGCATCAGAGGAGCAGGAAGGCTGACGTTTCGGGCCTAGACCCTTCTTCAGAAATGGGGGAGGGGAAGGGGGTTCTGAAATAAATAGGGAGAGAGGGGTAGGCGGATAGAAGATGGATAGAGGAGAAGATAGGTGGAGAGGAGACAGACAGGTCAAAGAGGTGGGGATGGAGTCAGTAGAGGTGAGTGTAGTTGGGGAGGTAGGGACTTTATAACGTGACATCCATCACTATCACAGAGATTCATTTTTGTAAATAAGGTCTTTGATAATCCTGAATGACTCATTGTGGTCAAAGAGGTTCACCTCTTCAGATTCAAATGGTTCAATCAATTGGTTTTCAGTTCTTATTGTACATCATTGGCATAAAAATTGAAAGCAGCAAATCAGATTACTGAAGACCTGTTGTCAGGTTTGGTTATTGGAGATAAACCTGGAATGCCTAGTGCTGGAGAATAATAAAGGTAAAATTGTTACAAAACAAAGAACTGTAATGCTGGAAGTCTGAAATAAAAACAGAAAGTGCCGGAGAAAGTCAGCAGGTCTGGCAACACCTGTGGAGAGAAAGCCAAGTTAAGGTTTTGGGTCCAATTTTGAAGAAAAGTTACTAGATCCAAAACATTAACTCTGCTTTCTCTCCATAGATTAAACTGTTTGTGGTAACTGTGTTAGTAAAACATTAAATGATTCTGATTGACTGGCTTACTTTGAAGTTTCTGCTATTTGCCCGAGTTCCAACCTTGATAGCCATTACTTGAGAGACATGGCATTCTTGACATGTAGACTGACATCTTAACTGTGGGTCTGCATCTTTTTGCGGTGTAGCCTTCACAAATGCATCAGATTTGTTCAAATGTGTGTGCTGATGCTTGTCCACATTGACCTTTGCGCTCCTGATCCATTTCCTCACCTGCATATGGCAATAACAGTCTCAGATATCATGTAGATTTAAAACAGTTACAGAAATGATACCATAAATACCAGGGTTTATTAGACAAACAGCATTGTTACACTGCCAATTTGGTTGGCAAATTATTATTCTCTGATATCCAATTGCAGGATACTAGCAGAAGTAAAATGACATGAAGAAATGACCGTGCAATCTATTTCACTTCTATTCATGCTTTTGTTCATTATGTTCAGGATTTTTTTCAATTTACTTTAATATTTTAGAGACAAATACACATCTTTCACTAAACTAACAAACTATTTACTTCCTTTGTAAATGAGGGAGGAAACTTTGACTTTTGCCAATTCTATATAAACGAGATCCCGTTACAAAATGCTTCATACTCGATGTTTCTTAGAGGATTTAAACTTTGAAGGATTGTGAAAAATTTACTTATTTCAAACTTTTGGTGATATCTGGAGTGATTTCTTTAAATGAGGCCATCGTCGACATATGAAGTTATTTTTCACAAAACTTCCTAATGAATAGTGACAACTGCTTGTTTTACTGTAGGTTCCGGCCATGGCTATTTGAACAGTGACTAGATGGAGAATGTGTTTTGGCATCTGGAATTAGCTGAGGAGCAAAAAGCTTATGTGGAAAGGCTGCCTGAGTAATCTCCTCTATTTCTGTAATAAATCCTGTTGTTGATTTCTAGGTGAAACGTCCTTGTTCTTCTGAAAGAGTGATTTGAAGGAAATTCTCAATTTTGTATTTCCTGAGCAAGAAGTATCTGCAAAGACTCCAGTGACAACTGTGCATGATTAACTATTTGCTGTGATATTCTGACACATGTGGTCAACAGACATTGGAAAATTTTATGCCTCGTCTTTTTTGCCTTCAGGAATAACTAATTGCCAGAAAGTATTCTTTCTTAAAAATAAGTGGAATCTGCCAAAAGAGAAAAACATTCTTTATTTCTTCCTGAGGCATGTGCATCTGTTTGAGGGGATAAACATTTATAGTTCCATATACCTCGTGTATGTTGACCAATTACTGCATTTTTATTTAATAAGTTTTAAGAAACCAATAGTTTTGCATTTATTTTAAAAAAGCCTGGATGATAGAGTTCTCGTTATTTAAAACTTGATACAGAAATGTCATATGTTGGCCATCTCAGTAACTGGGAACACTATTTTCTCACTGAGACCTGTGGAATAGTGGCAACAGTGCACCCCTTCAACCCCAGTCCTAACATATCACATTCACTGCCTATTGCACGTTTTCATGCTTTATTTCTCTCTTCACAATTTTTAGCTTTCTCAAAGGATTAGCACTCCTCAATGAAAAAGGGAAACTGATGACCTGTAATCATACCTTTTAAATCATTGCTGTCAGTAACATAATTAGGAGGTGCATTGGGTGACCCAAAAGAAAGAAAAGTCTTGTATTTGTATAATGCCTTTCACAGCTCATGAAATCCAGAAACACTACCATCAACAAGGTACTTTATAAATGCATGGTGTAGAGCTGGATGAACACAGCAGGCCAAGCAGCATCAGAGGAGC